CTTGGCATATAGTAAGTACTTAAATGCTTTTCTGCTCATTCATATCAACTTTCTTTTGTTGGTACAACACTTTCATTAGTCTTTTCTTCCAGTGCCTTTCCAAAGACAGTGAGGTCATCAAGGTATAGCAACACTTAAAGATAATTCATATATCTGACTATTTTCTCCATTAGCCATTGGAAGGGGGCCAGTGCCCCTAAGGTGACTCCTGGGAAAAACTCACATTGATGAGATCTAGATAGCTGGAAAGATGAAAGCAGTCTTTTGTCTTCCTCGACAATAAGAATAACAACAACAATGCATTAATAATTATACCAATAAGCAATAGTTCACAATTATAATATATTGGTATATTTAATAATATATTAATAATAATAAATTTATATAGCACTTACTATGTGCCAGACATTGTGCTAAACACTTAACAAATATTACTTCATTACCTCCACTGATATTTCTTTTATCAGACCAGCTGGAGAACTGCTAATGCAAGACAAAAGAAATTTTATTTGACAGTCTACCAAAATTAATAAAAAGTATACACGCTGAGAAAGGGAACATATATGGAGAGTAAGTGTGGCCAGGGAACACATGGAAGAGGGTCACAAGTCAAAGGAAGCTTGGCCAGGGTAAGGACTGGTGTCTTATATCCCCACCAGTAGTAAAGTGATATCTCACAGGGCTGTTGTGAAGATAAAATGTGAGATAAGATCCAAAAAATGCCATCCAAATGTCAGCTATTATTATTATTATTATTATTTTAAATTTAATGTCTTATTTTCCCCCAATTACATGTAAAAAAATTTTAACATTCATTTTTAAAAATTTTGAATTCCAAATTCTCTCCCTTTAAGAGTCAGCTATTATTTTTTGTTTGTTTTATTTTTTTCAGCTAGTATTGTTATTATTTTTAGGCAATTGGTGTTAAGTGACTTGCCCAGGGTCACCCAGCTAGTGTCAAGTGTTTGGTCTGAGGTCACATTTGAACTCAGGTCCTCCTGACTTCAGGGCAAGGGCTCTATGCACTGTGCCACCTAGCTGCCCCTCAGCTAGCATTATTGAGAGACAGCATGGTATAGTACAGTGGTTCTCCAGTAACGAGCTTTTATATAGTGCCTGCTATGTGCCAGGCACTGTGCTAAGCACTTTACAACTATTATCTCATTTGATCCTCATAACAACCCTGGGAAATAGGTGCTATTATGATCCCTATTTTACAGTTGAGGAAACTGAGGCAAACAGCTTAGTTAAGTGTCTGAGGCTAGATTTGAATTTGGGTCTTCCTGACTACAGGACTATCATTCTACACTTCCCCATCTAGCTGCCGTATGTAAAAAAGAGTTATTAATTGGAGAATGGCTGAGCAAGTTGTGGTATATGAATGTGATGGCATACTATTGTGCTGTAAGAAATGATGAACAGGCTGACTTCAGAAAAACCTGGAAAGACTTATATGGTCTGATGCTGAGTAAAGTGAGCAGAACCAGGAGAATGTTGTACACAATACCAGCCACGTTGCATGATGACTAATATTGATAAACTTAACCCTTCCCGGCAATACAAGGATCTAAGACATCTCTAGAGGCCTCGTGATGGAAAATGCTATCCGCATCCAAAGAAAGAACTATGGAAGTTGAATTGCTATTTTTTTTCTTTTTTGTTGAGTTTTGCTTCCTCTTTCTGATGGTTCCTTCTATTGGTTTTAATTTTTACTTATAACATCACTAATGTGAAAATATGTTTAATATGAATGTAAATGTATAGCCTATATCAGATTGTGCGCCGTCTTGGAAAGGGTCGTGGGGAGGAAGGGGGAGAAAAATTTTAAATTCAAAAGCATATGGAAGTGATTATTGATAAATCAAAATAAATTAATAAAAAAAAAATAAAAAAGAGTTATTAGAACCCAAGATCCCAACCCTCAATCCAGGGCTCTTTCCCCTATTGGCACATATTATTGCCTGTGATCATAATCTAAAAAAAGGAGTTCTGTGCTCAGAAAAGGTATGGTTCCACAAAGGGAGGGGCAGGGCTAAGAAAAGGCCGGTGGGGAGGGCTGCCTCTCCTGAGTGTCTCAGGGCATCCTGAGCACTGTGGGTGCTTCGGAAAGGAGCATCACCAAAATGAGTGGGGTGGGGTGGGGGTGGAGGGACAAGAAAGAAAAACGAAGGAGCCCTTCATTTTTAAAATGCTGACTTCACCATTTAACCTAGGTCACACTGACTCCAGTGTCTGGGTTCTCCTTACACTTCTCTTCATTTCTGTCCTTTTCAAAACATCTCCCACTCTGGTTCCCATCAAGCCATGTCCTGCTATAGCAGAGAGTGACCTATACTGAAAGGCCTTGACAATCTGGAGGCTTTGTTCCTTCCAGCTTCATCACTTGCCGACCTTCAGCCTCTCAATTTCTTCATCTGTAAAATGAGGTGTTTGGTCTAAATGGTCGCTAAACTTCCAGCTAGATAGCGAAGTGGATACAACGTAGGCCCTGAAGTCAGGAGGACCTGAGTTCAAATTTGACTTCAGACCAAACACTTGACACTTACTAGCTGTGGGACTCTGGGCAAATCACTTAACCCCAATTGCCTTAAAAAAAAAAAAAGCACTTACACAGTGCTCCTCCCAAGGTGGTTGTAAGGATCAGATCAGACATTTGAAAAGAATCTGGAACTGCTTCTTCTGACTCCACATCCAAGATTCTTTCCATAACCCTGGATTTGGAGTCAGAGAACCTGGTTTCAAATCCTGCCTGCATCATTTATAACCTATGTGACCTTGGACAAATCATTTAACTTCTCTGAGCCTCAGTTTCCTCATATGTAAAATGAGGGACTAGATGACCTCTATAATCCTTTCCAGCTCTAAATCTATGATCTATAATCTACTTGTTGTTACTGAGACATTTCAGTGGAGTCTAACTCTTTGTGACCTCATTTAGGGTTTTCTTGGCAAAGATACTGGAGTGGTTTGCCATTTCCTTCTCCAGCTCTTTTAACAGATGAGGAAACTGAGGCAAACAGGGTTAAGTGACTTGCCCAGGGTCACACAGCTAATAAGTGTCTGAGGCCGGATTTGAACTCCTAAATATGAATCTTCCTGACTCCAGGCTTGGAACTCTATCCACTGTGCCACCTAGCTGTCCCTATAATCTATTTAGTGGCAGCTAAGTGTATTGTGGATGGAATACTGGGACTGAAGTCAGGAAGCTCTGAGTTCAAATTCTGCCTCAGATACTTACTAGCTCTTGTTATCTTGGCAAGTCTCTTAACCTGTTTGCCTCAGTTTCCTCAGTTCTAAAATGGGGATAAATAATAGTACTTACCTCCTAAGGTGGTTGTAAGGATCAGATCAGACATTTGAAAAGCACTTACACAGGAGCAGCTAGATAGCGAAGTGGATACAACGTAGGCCCTGAAGTCAGGAGGACCTGAGTTCAAATTTGACTTCAGACCAAACACTTGACACTTACTAGCTGTGGGACTCTGGGCAAATCACTTAACCCCAATTGCCTTAAAAAAAAAAAAAGCACTTACACAGTGCCTGGCACTTAAGTCTATTATGCAAACACTGTGCTAGGCATTATGAGGCATTCAAAGAAAAGTGAGACTTGGTCTCTGCCCTTAAGAAACCTACAACATTCAGGGAGATGTGAACACATGAATAAGTACTTGAGTACTTGACTTTTGTGGATAAGCCCTCTACCATATCCAGACTCCTCTACAAGTTAGTAAACTAGTCTTTGAGAGTTGCTATGGTGGCAAAATTCACTATTAGGCCAACTTTGAGCCTCCCCAATCTTAGTCTGATCTTAGATGGGTAGACACAGTCGTCCATCAGCCAAATACTCAAAAGACTTTCCACTTTAGCAGAATCTGCTAGAGATTGTGTTCTGCTGGCAAAGTTTTCAACTATAAATGGATGACATTCAGCCAAAAATGCAGAGAAAGACATAGATTTTTCAGACCCTGCTAATATGGGAATTTTATTTTTCTGGACCTCGAAAGCCTGTGATGACGGTTTTATTATCTCCAGTTTATCCTGTTTATAGCTTATTTATACGTAGTTTGCTTGTTGTTTCCTCCAGTAAATTGTGAGCTCCTTGAGGGCAGGGATCATCTTTTGTCTTTTTTTTTTTTTAAATCTCCAGGGAAGATAAGCACAGTGCCTGGCACATAGTAGACAATTAAAAGATGCTTGACTATTTTAAACAAATTTGCTCAATGAGAGGGGCAAAATAAAAACTTTTTTTTTTAAAGAATAAAAGGATGAACAGAGGACTTAAGTGGATGGCGCATAGATAACAATTGGGGAGAAAAGCAGGTAAGGGAATAAGTATTTCTTAAACACCTACTATGTGCCAGGCATTGCGCTAATAGCTTTACAAATATTGTATCATCTGATCAGCACCCCCTCACACACTAGTAACACTGGCAAAGGCAGGGATCACCGTGGGCTGGAAGCCTTTAGGGAAAACTCTTGGAGGTGGGAGTTGAAGAGGGTCTTCAGGGACGCCCAAAGGTATTTGAATGGGTGGGATTCAGTTCGAGTAAAACGAAACAGGTAAGAACTGCTGAAACTCCTCCGCCCCCACACACAATTATCCGTCCACAACCCGCCTGGGCCTCATAGATAATAACCAAGAGGCACCGCCCTCCTCATCGTCCCGGGGCGGGGAGGGTAACAAGGTAACGGGCTGGAAACCCAATCACGACCCTCCCCACGGGACGCACTGGCGGCCCGCCCCGCCCCCTTTAAACTTTAAAGCCTCGCCCGCAGTCTTGCACAAGAGGTGGGGCGAGCAAAGCAGAAATCTTAGCCAATGGGAAGTCGGGAGAGGCGGGGCCAAGGCAGGGAGCGGAGTGAAGCGGAGGGCGCGCGTCGCGTCGTCTGCCGAGATTTTTTGTCCCCCTGCGGCCGCCGTCCTACCTCTTCACGCGGTGGTTGGGTTGTTTCTAGGGGCGGAGCGGACGGGAAATTTAAACTTAGAGCCGCGGCTGAGGGCGCGGGGGACTGGACGACGGCCCGGCCCGGAGCCGCGGGGGAGGTAGGAGGCGAAAGAAGGAAGCCGGACAACGAACGCGGCCCTCGAAATCGAGACGGGGAAGGGAAGCAGGAGGGGGGGACCCGGATTGAAGGAAGGACAGTCGGGGGGGGCCTTGGGGAGCACAGTGGGGAGGGGGAGGGGGCACCTGAAGGGGCTGGGGAGCATCAATTGTGGGTTAGCTTGGGCCCATGAAGGGGGCTGGAGACCACAGGCTGAGCAACAGGGGTGGGAGAGCACAATCAAGAAGGAGAATGGGGAGCACAAGTTGAGGGGTCTGGCAGCACAGATTAAGGAGAATGGAGGGGGATGGGGAGCACAAGTTGGGGAGGGGGAAGTGGCTACGGAGGGGGATGGGAGCACGGAGTAATGATAATGAGGACATAGAGGGGACTGGGGAGCACAGATTAAAGAGAATGGAGGGAGATGGGGCACAGGTTGAGGAGGGGGCCAGGGCTGTGGAGGGAGACGGGGAGCACAGGTTGAGGAGGGGCATGGGGAACACAGGTTGAGGGAGGAAAGAGACAGAGTGGGCTGGGGGAAGGTCAGGAGGTCATGAAGGACCACCAGCAGGAGAGCACCCTCTGGCCTCTGTGAGCTGGACCGCAGATGGGGTGATCCAGGTTGGGGAAGGCTGACAGGCAGAGCCTGGGGCTGGTGGGTGTTGAGCAGCTGCTCTCTTCTTCTTTCCCAGGTGTGTGGTCAGGGTCCTCCAGCCTGGGAAGCTGATGTCTGAGATGAGGCTCAAGCCCCTGCCTCGACATTCAGGTAGGTGTTGAAGCCTGGCCTACTCATCATGGACTTGTTTTCAGTCGATTCAGTCTTGTCCTTCTCTTCATGACCCTATTTGAGATTTTCTCGGCAAAGATGCTGGAGTGGTTTGCCATTTCCTTCTCCAGCTGATTTTACAGATGAGAAACTGAGGTAAACAGGGTTAAGTGATTTGCCTAGAGTCACACAGCTAGGAAGTGTCTGAGGCCATATTTGAACTCAGGTCTTAAGGTGACTCAAGGCCAAGGGCTCTATTCACTGCGCCTCCTCACAGAGGGATTTATTTTTTACCTTACTGGGTTTGTAGTATAGGAAAGTAGAAAGCTCTGGGCTTGAAGTTGGGAGACTTGGGCTCTGGTCATTGATGTGCCACTAACTGCCCTAATCTTAGGGAAGTCACTTGCTTCACTTTTCTGGGCCTTAGTTGCCTCATCTGTAAAATGCAAGAATTAAATTAGATGTTCTTGAGGAGCCCTTCCTTCCACTTCTCTCAGGCTATTTTGTATTTCTTTATCCTATATGCCTTGTTTTACTCTTAGTAGTAAGTTTCTTGACAACAAAGGACTGTTGTTTTTTGTCTGAGGCAAATGGTGAAGATGAGGATAGTTAGAAATGAGGACAGATAGATATATTCAGAAACAAAAGCTAACCTTAACTTTAGCTCTGGTTCCTGCTTTATCTGCCTGTAATCATTTATTAAGCACTTACTGTATGCTAGGCACTTTGGATACAAAGACAGAAGTGAAATGAGCTCTTCCCTTGAGGAACTTGCAGTAAGGGGGGGTTGAAGAGGGCAGAGAATAGCATATTTATAAAGTATAGATACAAAATAGATATGATATGGAGTGGGGTGGGGAGGGAGATGAGAAAAGGTCGAAGGGCTTGTCCTAAACATTGTAGAAAATTGGAGATTCTCAGAGGCACAGGAGAGGAAGGAGTGCATTTCAGGCATGGGGGACAGCCCGTGGAGATGGGAAATGGAGAGCTGTGGATGAAGAACAAGAAAATAGTCACTGCATGTGGGCAGGGAGTAATGTGTCATAAGGCCAGAGACGTAGCTTGGGGCCAGGTTGTAAAGGGCTTTAAATGCCAAACAAGAATTTATATTTGATTGTGAAAAGTCAATGATATAAGCAAGTGGAATTGTAACTTTAAACATTTGAGGCATCCAAGAAACTCATAAATAGTAGGGAAAGAGAGTGCAAATGTGATCGTCAGCATTTTGTCAAGGAGAAAACTAGCAGAAGGAGGCATGAGTCAAGTATCTTGTCAGTGAGGACACTCTAGTACCCATAAACATTTTGCTTATTGTTCTTTTTTAACTGTCTTTTTTTTTCTAGGGGCTCAAGTGATCAGTTGGTTAGGAAAAAAACATAAAGAACCTCCTGGTGAAATGAGACAGCCACTTTCTGGAAAGTCCTTCTACTTGGATCTGCCTGCTGGCAAGAATCTCCAGTTTCTGATGAGGGCTATCCAGCAGCTGGGTGGAGTGAGTGACAGATTTGTCTTTTTTTGGGGAGGGGAGGAAGGGGAGGTCTTGTGCCTGTTGGGACTAAGAATTAGAGAGGGATTAGATTAGTGATTCACACCCATAAATATCTCATTAGATTGTCAAAATTAATTTAAGCTAATTAAATAGTCTATAAGTATGCCACTCAATCGCTTCTGATGAGTATAGGAGCAGAAGTGGGGTTTAGGGATAGGGGGTGCATTGTGAAATCATGCAAATGGTAAACTGTCGAAAAGATTGGGACTGAGTTTGTTGTATACTTTGGATTTAGCAAATAGTTAAATTGGAAAAAAGATATTAAACAGAGTTTAAAGTCACATGGACACATGCTAAGGTCAGAGCTCCCATGAGGCTCTATATGGTTCTTGTCTTTGGAGATAGCATAGTGAGCTACTAGTGCTTGGCTCAGCAGCAAGTAAACACGGAAGCTTAAGCTTTGTCTAAACTGGGTCAAAGTACAAAGGTTCCTTGCCATCAAACTGGTAGGAATGAAAATTTGAGCAAAGAAACTTTGGAATGGGGAATGGAATAAAGAGTTGCTGATCAGAATTAGTCTGATTTTGTCCTCTTCATTCATCACAGTGATTCTCCTACCTAACTTCTGGCATTATAATAATACCTAACATTTACATAGCACTTTAAGGTTTGCAAAGCACTTTCCTTATATTATTTCATTTGACCCTCAAAATAGCTCTGGGAGGTATGTGTTATTATTGGCCCGATTTTACATTCATTCTTGCACATATTCAGTGCAGTTATCTATATTAGTAACAGCCAGAACTTTTCCTTGGTCTGTTTTCTGAATGAAAATACCAAGTATCTCAATATGCCATTTGAAAGTACTCTGTTTCCTTCTAACACCACCTAAAAAGGAACTGGAGGTTCTTCCACTGGAAATCACAAATTGCCAAATATCCTTTTCTTCTCTTGTTTTTCCTAAGCTCCTTTTTAAGAGTAGTCTTGCCGTAATTAGAGATTCAGTTCTCATATGGGTCAGTTTACTTCACATTTAAAAAAAGCAAAAACTGTTCCAATTTTCAAAAAAAAAATCAATAAACATTTATTAAGCATCTTCCATGTGCCAGACAGTGTACTAAGTAGTGTTATAGCCAGCTCTCTCACAGATAATGTGGAAGTCGGAGCATAAAGGAGAAGAGCTATGGATGGCCCAGTGTAGACTCATGTTTATTCCCAAAAAAACAACTCGTTATCCATGGCTTACTACTGCGGGGTCAGAAGCATTATCTCTGTACAGTTGACTGGGTTTTGTTTTGTTTTGTTTGCTTATAGTTTGGATTGATATTTTCTAGCTGGGAGTTTTCTACAAAGCTGTCCTCAGACTATTTCAAAGAATTGACATTTCTTCACTTCTGGCTTGATGAGAGGCAGAATTACCTCCCCAGACCTTGGTATTGATGCTTCCATTCTGCAATTGCAACCTTTTTTTTAAAACCACTTTTCTCCCCCCTCTGCTTGCAGGTGATTGAGAGCTTTCTAAGTAAGGAAGTGAGCTACATCATAACTAGCCGCAGGGAGCCCAAAGCAGAGAAGAGTGCAGTGGGCCACCAGGGCTTCGAGAGCCTTAGGAAAAGGCGGGTGGAAATGACCTCTCCAACTGATCCTAAAGGTGGCCAGAAGCTTGGGCCGAAGCCAAGAGATGCTGTAAGAATTTCTGAATCGAGAGACTGAGAATGTGAACCTTCCTTTGTGTGTTTATATAGCCTTGGGGGTGGGGAAGAGCTCTGTCCAGAAGGAGGGTGGTGGGCTCCTACTGTCATTTGGGATAGACTTCTCTTTTCTGAATCAGGGGCTATGAATGTTTTATCACAGCTCATTGACCCTGGAAACCCTCAGCGACCCTGGTTGCAGTATCTTATCACTCCCAAGTGTATTTATCCATACAACTCTTAAATGACGGATCCATTCCTCTTTACATAAGAAGTGGCATGTATGTTGCCTGAGTGTGTATGATAAGATCCCTGGGGAGTGGCTTCCTTTGTCTTACTTTGGAGCCACCAACAATGATGCAGATAACCCTAAAAGTCACCTTAATTACCTTCCTAACTAACTTAGGTCAATACTAAAGTTTACAATAACGACAACAGCTAGCATTTACTTAGCACTTTACAGTCATTACCTCATTGGATATGTTCCCTGGGCATAAATTGGCACAGGTCAGGTCAGATGTGTATTGCAGATGGGAAGGCATTAACAATTTACTGCAGATTGGCATCATTGTAGAGTTATCATAAAGGCAGAAATTCTGGGATAGAATTTAAAAGACCCACGTTTTAGTCCTACTTGTGCAAGGTCTTCTGTGTCTTACAGTTGAGCCATATGGATCTTTAAAGAATGGCTCTATTTGTAACTGTCTCAGAGCCCTTCTAACAGGATGGGATTTGACAGCTGGAGTGCCTGTATTTAGGTGTCAGCTCTGCTTTTGGCTCGCTAGGAAATCTGGTCTTCGGTCACATTGAGGTTTTACATTTCACTCCTTAACAGTGACTGTACCTTGGGGTGAAGAACATGCCATCGTAGGGGAGGTGTAGCAAGACCATAGTTTTTAAACTATACCTGGTGTTAGGTAAGCATCAGCTCTGAAATTTCATTTTTGTCCTTTTTCCTGGCAGGTTCCGATGAGCAGAGGGAAGGAGCTGTTGCAAAAGGCCATCCGAAATCAGGCAAGCTTGGGAAGGGCAGTAACTCAGGAAGCATGTTCCTGCCCTGAATTCTTTGGCCTCTCCTGAAAGCTACCGTGGGGTATATGGGCCTGTGGGTTTGATAGATGTTGCTGATTTTTACCTAAAAAAGGAAAGTAAATGTGCTTTCCATTTCGTCTAGTCAAGTGAGTGAGTAGTGTAGAGTGGTTCTGGGTCAAAGGACCTGGGTTCAAATTTTACTTCAGACATTTTCTCCCTTTGTGACCTTGGACAAGTCACTGAACTCTCCCTTGCCTCAGTGTCCTCATCTGCAAAATGAGAGGGTTGGCCTAGATGCCTCATCCATTCTAGCTCCAAATCTCTGATCCTGTGACGTATTGTGTGAGCTGCTAGATTTTGGGATGCAGTGAGTGGAGAAAAATCACCGTCAGACTCAGTTATCCACGAGTTATTTCTGAGGCGCTTTCCCTCTATTGTTTCGCTCACTCACTACCATTAACTCTGTGGAATAAAGAGGCTTCAATAGCTGCCCTAAGACTTTGAATTGGCACTCAGACTTCTGGGACAGCTGCATAGGTGCATGTTCTAATTGGCTTGGTAATAACGCCGAAGAAGCAGCTCTCTGTCCTGCCTGTGTCATTTACCAGCTGTGTGAGTTTGGGTAAATCACCTCTCCTCTCTGAGCCTCACTTCCTTCCTTGTTTCATATGCCTCCAGGTTATGGAAGGAAAATACTTTAAGTGTGTTGCCATTTATTTATTGTCCCTTTCAGTTCTTATGGATGTCTGGGAGGTGACTGTATGAAGAAGGTCTAGGAAGCCCTGTTTTCCTGATTCTTGTGCCTGGGGATATCTTGAGGACCTGACTCTTTTGTTCCCTCTTTCCAGGGTAGCCCCAGTGGCAGCCCAGGTGGCAGCAGCAGCCTCCTGGCCAATGCCCGATCCTGGGGAGTGCGGATCCTCCACGTCGATGGTACTGTCTAACCCTCCTTCTGTGTGGTCAGCATGGGGTGGGGATTGATGAATGTGAGCGAAGAAGCGAATCTCTGTGGGACAGATCATAGATGGTTTGGGGCGTAAGCAGTGGAATGAGAGGATGGGACATAAGTTACTTTAAAACTTTATTTACCAATTTTTAAGTTAAGTTACATTGATGCCTTTTTGAAAAACACCATACTTATTTCCAGTACATCCTCTGTTGTAACAAGGAAAGACAGTTAAGAAAAACCAACTCTCACAGCATCTGTGTTCCCATCATTCTGCGCTTAGTTTCCAGTGCCCTTACTGAGAAAATGAAAGTCTGTTTCAGCTTCTGGCCTGGTGAACCTAGATTGGTGGTTGCATTGAATCTGAGACTTTTTCATGCTTTTTTCATTTGCATTATTATAGTCAGTGTGTATATTGTTCTGCTGGTTCTGTTTTTCGTTCTGCTTCCGTTTATACAAGTCTTGCCCTGTTTCAGGGGTTTTGTTTTTCTTGCTTTCTCTGTGAGGAGGAAGAGAATGTGGATCTAAAAATAAAATGACATTGAATTAAAAAAGAAAATCAAGAAAAAAGCCATGGAAAACAGGAATGCTGGTATGGTGCTGGAGAGGAGCAGATGTCCTGCTTTTTACATTCATTCAGCCCATCTACACGCATTTATCAAGCACTGCCCCAGGCACTGTGCTAGATGCTGGGGAAACAGAGACAAACATGAAACAATTCCTGCCCTCCCGGAGCTTATAGGAAGAAAACAACCCCAAAAAACCAAGTCTCCCACTGCTTCTCAGAATTCCTCATCTTGTTATGTAGCCCAATAATTCATTATTTCTTGTAGTGCAGTAATATCCCATTACATTCATATATACAGTTTGTTCAAGTATCCCCAATCAATGGGCACCTGCTTATTTTTAGGTTTTTTCTGCTGAAAAAATCTTGATATGGATATTTTAGTGTATATAGGACCTTTCTTTCGGGTTTTGACCCCTCTGAGGTATATTTACAGTAGTAGGATGATGAAGTCAAAGGGTATAGATAATGTAGTTGTATTGCTCCCATAATTCCAAATTGTTTCTCAGAACAGTTGGATCGCTTGATAGCATCACCAAAAGTATATTAGAGTTCCTGTCTTTCCATAACCCCTCCAACATTGTCTGTTTCTGGATTTTATCATCTTTATCAGCTTGCTGAGTATATGGTGAAACCTCAGAATTGTTTTAATTTTCATGTTTCTTATTATTAGTAATTTGGAACATTTTTTTTCTTTAGAAAATTGTTCATATCCTTTACCAACTTTTGAGGAATGGCTTTTAGATATATATTTGTATCGATTCCCTTTATAGCTTACATATCTTTTATCAGAAATACCTGAAGCAAAGGTTTTTCGTTTTGTTTTGTTTTATGGTAGCGTCATAGGAGTGATTTCATCCCCACATATTTTATCAGGAATTTGGAGTACTTTTTTAAAATGACCATGGAATGGATTATATTGAACTTTACTTCTGCAATTACAGGTGTAAGTCTGGAAATGCCAGTTTTACCACCTTTTTAGTTCTAAGTCTGAGTCTTTGTGGCATTTTCTACTCTTAACTTATAGAAAAATCAGTATGATATAGTGGGTAGAATCCTGCACTTAGTCATGAAGAACTGGTTTCAAAACCTGTCTCAGATACTTACTGTCTGTGACTCTGGACAAGTCACAATCTCTCTACGCCTCCTGTTTTTTTCTTCTACAAAACAGAGAAAAATACCTACCTCATATGATTGTTTTAACAATTAAAAGAGGTGATATATATATATATATGTATGATATATATATAGTTTTGCAAACCTTAAAATCCTATAGCACTTTAAATAAAATAAATGTAACCTGCCATCATTATTGACTAGAGGGATGCTAATCTCCCTCCACCCTAAATTTTAAGTCCACCCACACAAGCACAGTAGGCCATCAGCTAGCTAGTTTTGAGTACCCTCGATCTAGAGGGACTTAGAGTTGCTGGAAATTAAGTTTCTCCCAAATTCTTTGCATTTCTTCCTTTCTGGTGGGTTGATTAAGTTCTGGAATGGTCATCCCCCTGCCCCTCCCCTCTGAGAGGACATCTGGACCCTTGATGTTATTTCTCTGGCTTGGCCCATCCGGGGCTGTTACTCATTAGCATTTGTGAGAAGGTCTTGATTTATACCTAGCCAAGAGTTTTCTTTCCTCCCTGCCTCCAGAACAAAGGATTTTCATGAACACTAGCCCACCCTCGGGCCATTTTCTGCTTTCTTTCAGAAGTTGTAAGAGCTATCGGTTGCCAGAAGGTGGCAGGCAAGGCCATTAGGCAAGGCCACGAAGCAGGATCCGGGGAATAATTAATTCCTGCGGGGCTCCATGGACGGGATAAACTAGGGGAATGAGGAACAGGGCCCTTTGGTCCACGATCTCTTTTTTTTTCTTTCTCCCAATAGAAATGTTGATGCATGTGCAGCAACTGTGCCTTGGTATTTTGCACATGACCGAACAAGAACAGAAGAAGCCAAAGGTGGGTTTGAAAGGGTTGGGGTTGTCTCTATAGGTCAGTGATTCCTGAGCTTTCAAGTCTGGTGACCATTTGGGTAATCCAATGGACCATCCAAATTATTTATTCTCACTTGCTACCCCCACTCCCTCAAATGCCTTTGGAGCAGACTTCTTTTGGTTCCAACCCTATCATATATTACTTGTATGACCTTAGGTAAATCGTTTAACCTCTGGGCTTCAATTCTCTTTTCTGAAAAGTTCAGGGGGTAGGATGAAATTACTTCTAAGGTCCCTTCCAGCTCTGTATCTGTGTTCCTATGTTCTGCTTTATTCCCAGCTATCTGATATATAAAATAAACCTCTTTCCTTCTTCTCTTTCTTTCTTATGCTCTCCGGGAACTTCACACAGATACTAGCATACCCTATCCTGGCATTTTGTACCAGACCATGGTCATCTAGAGAACCACTGCTGTTGGTGAAAGTATTGAGCGCAAATTCCCTGGTAACCAGGAGGTTAAGGCTCTTGGTACAGGGATCAGTGGTTGAGGCTAGACTAGAGAGGAAATTCAGAAAATATTTCACTTTTTCTGGATCTTTCTTTGGGTCAGGATTATATACAGTACTAGGACATTCCCCTATTGATTTAATCCCCTTCTCCCACCCTCCAGCTGAGGAGGCAGCTAGCATTAAGATGAGGGGCCATGCACCAGACTAGACGGTCTATTCTCAAGATAAGCCTTCAAGGCTGTTCTAGCACCAAACTCCGGTTCAGCCAGCCTGGCAGGTTCCCATGAGCAGAGGGAAGGAGCTCTTGGCTTTGACCAGTTCCTCCGAATAGGGAAACATGGGAGAGAAGCAGCATGGGTCAGACAGTCTTTGTTCTTACTGAATGTCGTCCTACAATTCCCTCTTACTTTTAACCTACTCTTTCTTCCCATTTAGAAAGCGTGTGCAGCAGTGGAATCAAGAGCTCCTAAAGGTCAGTGTGGAAACTTTTCACCATCTAATTGAAATTCCTCCTTCCCCCAACACCTCTGACTCCCTGCGTGGTGACATCTGTCCTATCCTATTTGTGGCAGGAAACGAGTCCAACCTCTAGCCATTCCTGCCTCAGACACACATTTCTTCCCGGTGCTTTGTCAGCACAAAGGGCCGGTGCCCTGATTTGTGGGTGGAGGTGAGCATCCACCCTATACTTCCAACTGAGGGGCTGCTTCTAGGAGGGTATTTTCAGGGGCCAGGGCTCACAGGGCTCCTCTTGGAGTGCAGGAACTTGGAGCCAGAGCTGTACGCACAATTGTGTATACTTTCAGATCCTCTGGCAGTGTTAGCCATGGAGTGAATTTGGGTTCGAAACACCCTCTTTGCGTTTTCCTTTCGATTCTGTAACGTTCCGAGGTGGGCAGTTTGACAGCTGCTTTCCATTTTTAGAAATGCCAAACTCCTTGAAACTTGACAAACAGGCAGATTGATAGGATTTTTCTTCATCATCTTATTTTGGACAGAGAGAGTTTCTCCTGGAGATGCTCTTTAAGTGGCATTTACACATCCAAAAACAGGAGCGAAGAAAAGTCACTTGGCACTGTGTTTGAAATGCAAGGAAATCTTTGAGGAATTGATTTTAATCATTGTGTCTAAGTTAATTAGAAAAGGAGAAAGAATCACCCAGAATAGGATTAATAAAAGCTGCTGTCTCAAGACTTAAGAGGCTGTTCTTTACTTTGATATTGTCAAGATCCTAAATTTGGGTTGGGATGTCTGATGGTACCAGCCTTATTTTGAAGTCCTGGTGCTTTCTGGGTGCTTTTCAGATCCCTTTTTGACTATGTGCTCTATCCCCTCATCCCTGGCCATTGCTTGTTTACCCACACTAGCTAAAACTCTTCTGTCACCAATTCAGCCCTCCATGTCTGATCTCCAAATTAATTCTCACCCTCCCAACACCCCCTGACCCCAAAAAGGAATGGGATTAGAGGGTACCGTCATCATCCAGGATTAGACATTTATTCAGGAGACTGCCACTCCCCGTCTTTCCTCTACTGGGATACCCCTGGAATGAGTAAACACTGACTAGTCCCCTAGGTTCCATAGATGAGCTGCAGCAGGAGCAGCCTTGGGTTTAGGTTACCATCCTGTTTACCCAATAGACTTCTTTGACTTTATAAACAACTCAAGCAAATAGTAGGTGAATTTTTTTAACTTGGTGATTTCTGAACTCAAATGCCATTTTCTAGCTTGTTTCATGTGGCATATTTTTGTTTTGAGACTTCACTTCCCATTATATAACCTGAATTCCTTGACCCTAACCTCTAAATATGGCTGCTACTCCAACTCTTTTGTCTTATTACTTTTCCCTTGTGTTTAATGTGGAATGCTGTTTTGAGACACTTTTAGGGCCCTTGGACTCGGCATCAAGCCTTTGGGGAAGATCTAGCTAACGCTCCTAACTTAGACAAAGTTATATGACTGATTCTTTAACATAATTTGTAATGGTAGTAGGTGGGGGGGGGGTTTGTATCATAGCTCGTGTTTGCAGTCTGTTTTATTTACTGGATTCCTGAATGTGTTCTCAAAGTGCTTCCCATTCCCTGTTAAAATGAGGGTACCCCTCCCCTACATATCACTAGTTCTGTCTCTGGAAACCACAGAACTGTTAATATTATCCAAATAAAGGAGGGAAGGAAAGGAGAATAGAAAACTTATCCCTTGCCAAATGGAAAGACCCATCTCAATCTGTCTTGTTTTTCTAGCTCATGAGAGCCTTTTAGACTTTGGCAGAATCTCCTGTACATCCTGTTTATTAAGAACCCCCCCCCCCCCCAACTCTGATCTGCAGGCAAATGGCTAAACTTATATGTTGTTGCTCTTTCAGTGGCAAGATTGAAAGTTCCGTTCTTAAAGATCGAAGACAGCAGCAGGTAAATGAGAATCACCCCCACAAGACTCCCCTGATGCTTCCCTGTGAGGCCCTGACCACAGAAATGACTTGTCCACAGTTGCACTGATAGAGGCTGACCTGCACTTAACATTTGGAGTTCCCCAGACCCAGTGTATGTTTCTGTTCCCTCTTCAGAAAAAGCTTTTCTCCACACGTGGAAGTCAGAAACCAGAATGAGAACCTTTTTGATCTGGTCTTTAATCATCTCAGATTATTGTTCAACAGATAATGATACTCCCCATACCTAAAGATGACTCATGATGACTCAGGGGTTGATTATTTAATGTGCGTATTACTGAGATTTCCTACTTTAAATACTTCATTTTTTTATTTTATTTTTTTTATTTTTTTTATTTTTTTAGGCAATTGGGGTTAAGTGACTTGCCCAGGGTCGTATAAGTGTTTGGTCTGAGGTCCGATTTGAACTCAGGTCCTCCTGACTTCAGTGCCGGTGCTGTATCCACTGGGCCACCTACCTGCCCCAATACTTCATTTTTATTAACTCTTCTTACCCTTTTTAGGGCTTCTTAATGCTTTTCTTCTTTTCCTGAGTGTATCTGTGGACATTGAACATCAGCTTACATTCATAATCTAAAAGTTTTAAGAGTTTGGTATGGGAGGAGACTCACTTAGCTTAAGTGACTTTCTGGCTTCTGTTGTTTCTCTTTCTACTTAAGAATATTTGTCCTTTAATATTGTTGAGGGGGTGGTTGTTTTTAAGCTTTTTTCAAAGAACTTTTATCTCATCTCATTTAATTCTCACAATGAATGCTTCTGTGACATAAAGCTACCCATTTTTTAGGTGGCGAAACTGCCCAGAAAGTTGAAATAATTTGCCTACAGCCACACAACCAGCTAACCCCAGTGCCAGGACTAGAATCTGATTCCCAACCCTTTCTGTCAATGCTGCTCATCTCCTCTCACAAAGATCACCTCGGGCTGGTGAGGCAGGGCTACCCCAGCGTTAGACCAAGTATGGTCAAGCCTTTTGTTTTGTGAGTACCTGCCATAGATGAGCCCCTGCTCCCTGAGGCACAGAAGTTCCCTGTCACACTGTGGAATGAAAGGAGAAAGCTCTGCTAAGAGGAACAGAGCACACCTCCCAAAGAAAGATGTCTCTACTGCCCTTGGCAGCAGTCAGGGTAGAGGCTTAATGTGACCCAGGGGGTTGGGGGGGAGGGCAGAAAACCTTGTGAATGGGAATAAAGCATGTGTCTGTGCTGAAAATATGTAAGTAATCAGCTCTGAAGTATTTACGCTAATGGATGAGAACAGAGACATGAAAAATCCAAAATAGCATATAGAGGGGGGAAAAAAATCTTAATTACCCACAAAATACTAAAGTGGAAAGAGCACTGGGCTCAGAGTCAGAAAACACCAGGGGGCCAGACCCACCTCTATCACTTCCTAGCAGCATGATTGAGGGTGAATCTCTTAATCTCCATTTCTTCATGAGTCATGTGGGGAGAATCATTTCTGTCTTGCTTGCCTTCACAGTGCGATTGAGAGGGTCAGATAAAAGAGTTGACATGCAAGTACCCTGTAATCTAAGGAGGTTGATGTGTGAACAATGTTGGTGTGCCTGAAGCTTTTCTTATAGCCCAGGCCTTACAGAGACAGTGCTTTATTGAATCCTAGGACCACTAAATTCCCTAAGAAGGTAACTCAGAAGCCACGTAATCCAACCCCCTCATTTTACAGATGAGGAATTTGAGGCCAAGGAGGGTCAGTGACTTGTCCAAGGTCACTCAGGTGGTGAGCTCCAGCCCTGGGCTTTGAATTCTGGTTCTCAGACTCGAGAGCTTTTGCACTCATGCAGAAGTGTTCTCTCTCTTTGACCTTTGTCTGAGTCACTCTGTAAACAAAAAGCACCTAATTGTGTCCAGTTTTATTGTAAGGAAGGAGAGCTGATCTGTAGCAGTGGCCTCTTGTGTTTCTTTAGTCCTTCCATTGAGTAAATCTTGAAATCCTTTTCACCTTTTCTCTCTCTCTCTCTCTCCAACAAGCGTCCAGAGAGATGCTCAGCTGCAAACACTAACATAAAGAAGGCCCAGTCTTGAAGATGAGAGAGAGTGAGGCTGTTGAATGAATGACACATTTCACCTCTTCTCTTGGCCTCAAAGAACTTTTTACTTAAGTCCCTACTAATAGGCCGTGTTGCAGGGATTTGGTCTCAACTTTAATCTTATGAGTCTGGAAGTTCTAAAAGTCAATTTTTTATTTAGTTTTGAAAGACATTTTTATATTTGAATTTGCATATTAGAAATGAGAACCTCTTAATTCTCTGAGATATTGAGTGTCTTCAGACATCCTGAAATCACCCCGTGAAGATCTGATTGTCAAGGCTTTGTTCTCATTCATTGTCCTCTTCAAACTTTTCTACTGATCCTTGCACAGTGCTGAAAATAGATTGTATCTTCTTGGAAGGTGAAAATGCTGAAGAACTAACCTAAAGCAGAGTTTCTGTTTCCCTGTAACTTTATTGGGAGGAATGATGAGAAATTCCTCTTCTGAAAAACAATCATCTGTTTTCTGCTGGGCCCTCAGTCATCTTTTCTTCTCTCTTTTAGTCCCTCAGGTTTGACTCGACTTGTTTTCACCTTCCTCATCTAGTCCCTTCCTCCCCTCCACTCCCACTGCTGCCACCACCACTACCACCCAAATTTAGGCTTTTGTTACCTCTTGCCTAGACTAGTGTAATAAATCTAACTGGTCTTCCTGCTTTTAGTATCCTCCTTTTCAAACCCATACTTAACACAGCTGCCAAAGCAATCCTGCTAATGCACAGTTCTAAGCATGCTGGTCCCTTGTTCAAAGACCTCAAATGGCCCCTTACTGCTTATAAGATAAAATACGGATTCCTAAGTTTAGCATTAGGGAGGGCACAGTCTGGCTGCAGGGTAACTTTCCAGCCTTATTTCATACACCCCACCACCCATACATGCTCTATGCCAGCCAAACTGAATAGTGGTCAGTGCCTTGTTTTCATCCTCACTTTTCTTGCCTCTTATTTCTATGTGCCCTGTATCCTGTGCTGCTGAGGGTAGACCTTTTCCCACATTCCTACCATTCCTTTAGGGCCCTTCTCAGGGCCACCTCCTCCCTGAAGTTCTTCCTGCTTTCCTCCTGTACTTGAAAGAAATGATCTTTCCTTTCATAAGTCTCATATCTCTTTTTTGTTGCCCTCTGCCTTTATCACATTCTAATTTGTATTATATAGTTCTCTCTTCCCTCATTTATGTTATATTCCCTCAAGGGCAGAGACTGTATCCCCAGAAACAAGCATAGTTATTTTGTACATAATAGGTGCCTATTAATAAATACTGAACCCTTTTTAATTAGAATAAGTAAAAATCCTGTTGAAGTTTATCAGATTTGAGTGGTGCAGTCAAAAGTATTAAATTAGGAGACCTGTGTCATGGTTCTTAGTTTGTGTGTGACCTTGGACAAGTTCCTTCACTTTTCTGTTTCCCCTTGTAAAAGGAGAGGGTTTGACTAGACAGTCTTTAAGATCCTTTCCAGTTCTAAATTCTGTAATCCTATGATCTACTGGCTGTGTGACCCTATCTAGCACTTATTATGTGCCAGGCACTGTACTAAGTGCTTTACAATTATTGTCTCATTTTATCTTCACAACCACCCTGGGAGGTAGGTACTGTGATTATTCCAATTTTGTAGTTGAGGAAACTGAGACAAACAGATTCAGTGATTTGCCAAGGATCATACAGCCAATTAATATCTGAGGTAGGATTTGAATTCAAGTCTTATTCCAAGGCCAGTGCTTTATCCACTGCACCACCCAGCTGCCCCCAGTAGTTTACTGTGAAAGGCTTAAAAGAAATAATGAATGTGAAAGTATTTTGGAAAGTATTCAAATATATTCATTTAGAAATTCTTGGTATTATTTTTGCTCTGAAATTGAAAAAAACAATAAACTAAAATTGAGTATGTAATTAGGATTGTTCCTGTGGACCTGGGATATGGATTGGAGTAACTTCTTTTCCTTTGCCTCCCCCAATTACAGGCAAACTTTGGAGCTTTTGTAGGTTTGATTGTTTGTTTTTCCTGTTTTTTGATGTATTTTTGATGACGTTTTTTTTAAAAATTATTTATTTATTTTTAGTTTTCGGCATTCACTTCCGTAAGATTTTGAGTTCCAAATTTTCTCCCTATCACCACACAAGATGGGGTTGACATAGGCTCTATACATACATTCATATTGAGCCTATTTTCACATTAGTCATGTTGTAAAGAAGACTTAGAACCAGTGGGAGAAACCATGAGAAAGAAGAAACAAAAAAAAGAGAGAGAGAGCAAATAGTATGCTTCGATCTCCATTCATACTCCATAGTTCTTTTTCTCGATGTGGATAGCATTTTCCATTGTGAGTCTTTTGGAGTTTTCTCAGATCCTTGTATTGCTGGGAAGAGCTAAGTCTATCAAAGTCAGTCATCACACAATGTGGCTGTTACTGTGTACAGCATTCTTCTGGTTCTGCCCACTTCACTCAGGATCAGTTCATTCAAGTCTTTCCAGGTTTTTCTGAAGTCTTCCTGCTCATCATTTCTTATAGCACAATAATATTCCATTACATTCATATACCACAACTTGTTCAGCCATTCTCCAACTGATGGGCATCCCTTCAATTTCCAATTCTTTGCCACCACAAAAAGAGCTGCTATAAATATTTTTGATGTATTTTTATTTTTCAGGAAATTCCAACCTTTCTACCATCAATTCAAATGTTTTCCTGAGCTCAACTTCCTGGGACCCAAAAACACAAGTCCATTTGAAACTCTGAGAACTTCCTTCCACAAACACAAAGCCAAGTAGGTCTTTCTGGCTCCATGCCTGGGTACTGGAACATGCAGGGCTGGTTACAAATGAAGGTTTACAAAGATTTACTTTGCAGTTTACATCTGTACTGTTAGCAGGAAAAGAGGCATAGACTGGGTGACCTCCAGTTCCCTCTGGGCTTTGTGTTGTGAGATAGTTGGTATTCACTTTAACCCTGAGCATCAGTAGCTCCAGGCAGTCGCTGGAAGTGCTACCTACTGACCCAAGTGATATGCCAGGGAGAAGGGAAGGGAGTTGTGTCTGCTCAGGTCCTGCAGCCAAGTTCAGGTAGCACTCAGTTGTCCGAATGGTGAATTCCTTCTCGATGAGAGCAGTTCAGCTGCAGTTGTAGTCATCCCACAGTGAGATAGTAAGGACTGAGACCTAGACAGATGAAGATGATGGGAGAGAGATTTCCAATGGAAAAGTGACCGAGTTTGATTTGATGAATGAATATAGGGGCCCAAAGAAGATGACAGCAAAATTAATTTCAAGGTCTTAAGAGCCGTGATGGCATAAAGCGTTAGTTTTCAAAATGCGTTTGTTCGTGGCGCAGTATTCATCGCCATGAGAGACAGTAGCGCAGTGGATTTTTAATTTGGTAAAACAGTGTGAGAGTCCAGAGACTCAGCATATGAAGTTTCCCATGACCAAGAATAGCTGTTTTTGTCAAGTTCTGTATGAGTTCAAGTCTAATATGGTTTGAGGTCAGTGCATACATTCAATAAGCAAGGTTTGTTTTCTGAATATTTACTATAGTATATATGGTGGGTAAATAAAATTTATATTAAAATTACATATTGGGGCAACTAGGTGGCTCAGTGGATAGAGCACAGCCTTGGAGTCAGGAGGCCCTGAGTTCAAATGTGGCTTCAGACACTTGACACTTACTAGCTTTGTGACCCTGGGCAAGTCACTTAACCCTGATTGCCTCACAAAAACAAAAAAAAATTACACATTTATTTTACCTACAGTAACATCACATCACAAATGTCACGTATCTAGCAAAGCAGATGGCGTAATCACATAGAGAGCTGGCCTTGGAATCAGGAAGACCTGGGTTCAGATTTAATTTCTGACACATCCTAACTGACCCTTATACAAGTTAGTTTCTAAATGCCCAGGCAAGTCCCTAAGATAATAAAATGCAGAATAGTTGTAGGTCTGTTGATTGAGTATTTTATTACTAGGAATACCAAAGAAATCTCAGTTCTAAGAGAATGAGAAGTGGGGAGGAAAGCTTCTCTGAGGGTGGGATAGAAGAAAGATTGGGTTTAGACACGATGCTCTGAGCTGCTGGTGAGACATTGAGGAGCAAGGATAGGGCTGGAGTCTAGGGGAGATGGGCTGGGACAGGTCTGGTGATATAGATGGGCAAGTCATCAGTGTAGACTTCACTCACTGCCCTCACAGAGATCTCTGGCCTAGCAGAGGGAGCCAGAGAAACAGATGTGAGTGCCTGCTTCTGCTATCGGCTCTCAGGCCATCTCAGGCAAGCCCTTCCTCCCTCGGACCTTCTGTTTTCTTGTATGTAAAATGAAGGCTTTGAATGAGATGATCCTTAAGGTCCTTTCCAGCACTTAATCTCTGATCTTAAACACTTAGGGTCAGGCGAACAAGGGACTAGTCCCAAACTGACTCTAGAAAGACAGGAAGAATGCTTGGGGAGGGGCTGGGTTAGGAGGAGGAGCTTGAGATTTTACCTGTTCTGCTTTGTAGTCTTTGCTTCCCTTTGTCCCAAAAGACGAATTGTTTGGTGGGTGGGCAGAATCTGATTCCCCACACCTGGTCCTCTTTCTTTTCACAGGTGATTTATCTGTGCCCTGAGGCCAGGGGTTGGGTTGAAGAAGCCCACCCACATTCACTGTCAGGAAGGAGGAAAGGCAGAGGTCAGGGGAGGAGGAGGTCAGACAGGGACCTCCAGAGTAGTCTCCACCTCCCTTTTCACCCCGATTCTCTAAGCTGCCAGAAGCCAATAGACATGGGGAGGGATATACCCAGCCCAAAGTGGACCTATAAATGAGAAATAGAGGTCTTTTTTCTCCTTATTGACTTATTCCCAGGGCCATCGTCTCCCAGGTCCCGCATCCTCAGGGACTGTTGGATTGCAAGTCAGAGGGTTATGGGTCTTCAGTGGTGTCTGGGGATGCAGACTTGGAAGATAAAAAAGTGGCAGGCTTGGTTTTGGAAGAGTTTGGGATTCTCTCAAGCCATAGTAACTTTTGCTTGTGTGTTTGTCCCTAGAGACCCTGAAGGCGATGAGCTGAGCCCCCAGTCTCCAGCCTGTACAGTGCCCAGGAGGAAGAAGGGGTACTGCGAGTGTTGCCAGGAGGACTTTGAGGAGCTCCGTGTGGTAAGGCCTGGGGTTTTTCTGAGAGGCATCATTGCAAGTTTTGGAGTACTACAATAATGTAGACAGGGCAGCCGGAGGGCCACCAAGTCCCAAATCCCTCACCCCCTTTCCGTGTCTGGTCCTGGGCAGTGCTCATGCCCCCACCACCAGCGCCTCAGCATCTGGCTCTCAGCCGGCAGGGGAAGCCTGGCAGTGCGCTTGTCTGCATGGGCAGCCACCTCTTCATTCAAAGGTCTGCATCTCTGCTTCCCATTCAGCATCTCCAAAGTGACCAGCACAGGGGCTTTGCTGTGGAAGCATCCAATTATACAGCAGTGGACCAGATCACATCCCAGCTCAGCAATAACTTTGCTGACCTCTCCATTCAGATGCTGCCCCCCAGGTGAGTCTGACTTGCCCTGTGACTTGGCACAGCAGGGCCCTTGGACCCCACCCAGTTGTACCTGGAGTCCTGCCTTTGGTGTTCTCCCATTTCAGATGCTTGGGGCAGGGGTGGAAAGAAATTGCAAGTTGTTAGGATCTGCCCTGGGGATGCTCCCTTCTCTCCCCTTTCCCTCCTTCTTTTCCTGTTTGTTTGTGATTGTGTGACCTTGGTGAATTCTCTTCCCTCTGGGGAAAGAAGAAATAGCTCGGAGAAGGAAAGGGGAAATTCTCCTTTTAAAAAGAAACTAAATTGAAATGGGTTAAGTGGGCATATCCCAGGTGAAGAAGGAGTATCTCTGGGACCAGAGAAAGAGACAGTCTCTGGTACTCTAGCAGTACCAGTAGTGGTTTCATCTTGCCTGGAGCTGTGGTTTCTCCTCCTCCCTGATGCTGTTGCTTCTTCCACTGCCCTCTCCAGCAACCCCACAGTAGGATTCCTTTGCTTAGAGCCACTAGCCAGGGTGCCCTCTCACCTGCTCCTCTCTGGCCAGTTCCGACCGCAAGGCCACAGAGCCAGGAGAAGAGGGTTCTGGAAACCAGTGCAGGCTTGGACACAGGAAACAGCTTACTCCCTCTTAGCTGTTTCATGGGGGTACATGAGGGGCTCAAAGGAGGGGAACGCTGATCTTTTTAGTTGGAAAAAACCAAGTCCTGGCAGTGGCAGCACATGCCCCAGTGGAGACCAAGCTCAGGTCTCCATTGTTTCTCACTGGGTCATCCTCTCTTCTCCCTCCCTGTGCATCTGTACTTGCAACTGATCAAGCAATTGTCTTTCTAGGCTGCTGGGCTCTCCAGCTGTTGGTCTGGAACCTCATGGTTCGGGTTCTTTACAAGGACTACCTCCTCCAAGCCACTTTCCAGATCCCAGGACAAATGGAGCCCCAGGAAGAACTGAGGAGAAAGGAGATGACCATTTGTCATCGGGCGCTCTTGACCCCTTGGCACCTGCTGAACAGACTAGTGGCAAGAAAGCTATCGGAGCAGAAGGTTCCAGGAGGTTGGGGCAATTGGGCGGGATGGTTAGGAACTCCTCAGGGGCGCCATCACTCGTTCACCAGCTCACTCTGGCTTGTGTTGCTTCTGTGGACCTCTTGGCTAACCCCCATTGTTGTGACTGGTCAGCAACCTCTCCATTCCTCAGTGAGCAAGACAGGTCCGTGATAGGCCATAAGCGGAAACTCCCATCCCCTGATCATAGGGCAGAGAAGAAACTTCGGGTGCCCACTGATGCTCTGCCTTGTCCAAACATCTCGGATATGCCTGTCTTGTTCCCTCTGGTCGCTGGGCAGGAACAAACAGATACTTTATCTCTGCCTCCTAACGTGGCCGTGAATCCAGACATTTTGCTTGCCTCTCCAAGTGGTGCTACCCACAGATCTACATCTCCCTCCCAGCACAGCTCCCCTAGCAAGCTTCAGAGAGATCCACTGTGCTCTGGTCTCCCAGGCACGGAAGTAGGTCTAATAACAAAGGTGTCTGAAGACGCAAGCCCTCTCCAAGGAGAGGCACAGACAGCCCCAGCGCTGTTTCCCTGTTGGGTCTCTAGCCCTTCCCCTGACCATCATTCTCAGTCTAGCCACCCGGCCTGCCAACCTGCACCCCTCCAGCTGACAACCTGTAGCTCTGAAAAGCATTTGCAGGGAACCAGTTTTCCATCATCATTAGAGGATGTGGTATCCCCACCTCCTTGCCCACCATCAGAGAGACAAGGTAATCTGGACAGCACCTGGCTCCCTGTACCTTCTGCAGCTCCTGCCTCCCTCCCTCCAGCTAAAGTTAGCTCTCCGCTGTTGGTGGAGCACTATTCTTCAGAGTCAGAATGGGACACGCAGCTCCTCTCGAAGTTAGAGAGGCCACAGGCTTCACGCGACCGCTCACTGGATGCTGAGGGTCTCCGCCGGGCCCGGATTGTGATTCTAGACAGTGGCTACGAGTCTCACCTCTATTCAGTGCTGCAGCCCAAGCCTGAGCTAGATTGGGAAAGGAAAGAAGAGCAGAGTCAAGGGAGCTGCCGCGCAGAGACAGATGGTGCCCCCTTCTTGACCTTTGAGGCCTGCCTGGACACCTGGACCAGCTGAGCAAGCTCCTTAAAGTACAGAGATCTGGGTACTTGTGTGGACCCAACCTAATTAGCCTTGCTGACCTCCAGAGACTTCGTGTAGAATGGGCTGGGTGGGGTTGACCTCCCAATGCCCCTCCTCTTCCCTCCAGATGTCCCCCAGCCATGACCCCACTGTCTACATGCCTTTATTCAGGGCAATGATCCTTGACCAGGATGTCACTACCTCTTCCCACCCCCCACTCCCCTCACCCCCATTCTAAGATGCAGGACTGGCACAGAGAGGGATTGCAAATAAAACAACAGGAGTTACATTCATCCCAGTTTTCTATTACAGCCAAAGCAAAAGGGCTAAGGTTTCCCCTAGAATTAGCCTCCCTTCCCACAAACATGTGCTTCACTTGTGGTCTTCCTCCCCTCTCTGTCTCTGCCAGATAGAAGCATACCCAGATCTGAATCAGGAGGGGGCTAGGGCCATTGGGATTTGCCAAGCCCATGAGCTTCCTCCCAACACACTTAGCTGGCTTCCAGCTCTGACCTTTCCCTTCCATTCCAGGATGGGGCTGGGTGGAGAGCTGATGTCAGTCCTTCCAGCCATTTCCCTAGACTCAGAGCAGAGAGCCCACCCCCAATAACTTAGAAGTCCTGCTTTTCTGAGATAATTGTCTTAACTCCACTTACTCCCCCATTACTCTCCTCACTCCACTCTGCTGAACCATTAATCTGTAGATAGAGATGGATTTGTTATTGATTCCTTGAATACCCCCCCATTTTTAATCTATGCCGTGGTTCTCATTCTCTGTCCGTCTGTGTCTATCTCTTTCCTCCACTCCTTCTTTTAACTGGAACTGTCGGAGGCTTGATGCTATTAAATGACTAAGTTTAGGGGAAGGTTGGCATAGGTCTCCATGAAGACTTTAGTTATTAACTTGGAAATGAAATATCTGAATGTACAAGCCCTGATCACCTGTTTGGCATTTTAAATAGTATTCCTAAGTAAATTGAGAAATTTTAATTTTGTTATAAAGAATATAAATAAATGTATTAACAAGGTGATGACTGATTGTGTATGTAGTGCTTTACATACACTATCTCATTTGATCTGAACAATTGGTACAGTGCAAAGAGCACTGAGTTTAGAGTTGGAAGGTCTTGGTTCAAATCCCAGCACCACAGATGTGTAACTTTGGGCAAGTCATTGAATCTTTTGCATCTCAACTTTCTCATCTGTTAAATGAGAGAGTTGTACTAGATGATCAATCACTATGGTCCCTCCCAGTTATGAGCCCTGTGAGCCTTGGTAAAGGTCCTTCCCATTGAGTGCTATGGAACCCCCATGCAATTTTGTCCTCACCGGGACTGTAGCCTGACTTCTGCCCATATGATATCATATCCCCAGCTGACCTTTCCAGTAAGTCCTCTTTCCCCTTGGTGGGAGGTGTCTGCCCACTCTGGTCCGTCGTGCCACTTTGGGGCCTTCGGTTCACCAACATCACTTGGTCCTCATTTGAAGTCCTTGCCATTGGACTGTGCTAACTACTCTTTACATCACTTTTCTCACTTGTTTTTCTCTAGATCCCCAGTCTTCCTTCTGCCTGGCCTATTGCCATCATCTTCCACTACGTCATTATTAATAACTCAAGCCTCGATGTTGTAAAATCCGTATCTTATCACGGAGACCTGCATCTCCACCTTAGGCACCTTATCGTGACATGACACCCCAGATCTCAAACCACAACCTCTTATTTGTCATCATGCCCATTGAACCATCAGTTTGATAATGCCAGGAGTAAGCCATTGGATCTCTTCTGACCCCATAGCCAACTCCATCAATACAGACCTCACCAAAACTCAGGATGTCTCAACTTCTCCCCTCCCCAAACACATAGGCATAGATAAAATGGCTCCTGGCTCATTCTCCAGTCACTGATGTTATAGAACTTGATTATATTTTGACTTCTGTGTTTCATCCTCCATATCAAATTGGTCTCCAAGTTTTATTCATTCATAATATCCCATAAATCTCCCCTTTTTATTTTTACTACTACTTTTGGAGTTTGGGGCAACTAGGTGGTACAATGGGTAGAGTGTCAGGCCTAGAGTCAGGAAGATTCATCTTCTAGACGCATTCAAATCTGGCTTCAGATACTTAGCTGTGTGACTCTAGGCAAATCACTTCACCAAGTTTACCTCAGTTTCCTCATCTGTCAAGTGAGCTGGAGAAGGAAACGGCAAACCACTCCAGTATCTTTGCCAGAAAAACCCAAATGGGGTCACGAAGAGTTGGACACAACTGAAATGACCCAACAGTTCCTTCATTGTGGTATTAGTCTCTTCAACCCATGCTACCTACTGATGCAATATTAATTTCTAACACAGTTATCTACTAGATTTCCCAGTGATTACAGAAATAAAGCAAAGATGCCCCCTTTGTTATTATCTGGGATAGTGCTGGCAAATAGTAAGAAAAGGAATCAAATGTGTAAACAGAGACAAATAGAGGATAAAATTATCCCTATTTGTAAACAACATGATGGTTTGCTTGGAAAATAGATTCAGCAAATGAAATTAATTTGGACAATTGCTTTAGTAAAGTGGCAGGACAAAATATATCCACAAAGGTCAATAGAATTTCTGTAAAGGTAATAACAAAATCTAGGAGGAAATAAAAAGGAATCTCAAATAATTATATAAGACATCTAGATGCCAATGTACCAAGGTGCACTCAAGATGTATAAATACAATTATAAAACACTTTAATTACCACTAATTGGAAGGATATTTGTGTTCATTATCTTGCCCGCCAATATAATAAAAATTCTGTTAACCTAAATTGACATATTTAGTGCTATGCCACTGAAACCAGCCACGAGATAACTTATAGAGCTAGATAAAATAGTAGTAATTCATTTGGAGGAACACAATGTTGAGAATCTTAAGGAGAATAATGAGGATGGGGGGAAGGGGAGAAAGGAATGAAAGGGAAATAGTATTTTTGGACCTCAAATTAAAAGACAATGATCAGGAAAGCTGTCTGATACTAATCTAATGCATTGTTACCATCATGCCTGTTCTCTGCTCAGAAACTAGTTCCTCCTCATGACCTAAAAGATAAATAGCCTAGAATTCAAATTTGAATTTTTATTTGCTTCTGTTTCCCTATGTAAACCCTTTGTTTCGTTTCCATCATAACTGGTTTGATATCCAAACATGTCACCATGTTCAGTCCTGCCTTGGAATCTCTCTTTCCACCATCCTTCATATCCTGGCCCAATTGTTACTCTTTCTAGAAAGTCTTTCCTGATCACCACCTCCCACAGATGAAACTAATTGTGCCCCTCACAGGTCATGGGATTTTTTGCAGCTGGAAGAAAACTTTGACACCATCTAGTCCAACCCTGTCTTTATGAAAAGGAAACCAAGTCCCAGAATGGGGAAATGAGTACTTGTTATGTGCGCATGCACACACGCACACACACACACACATATATATATTCAAGGATGGTAGGGACCACCATCACTAAAGAGGCATGAGCCAGCAAGAGAAGCCCTGCTGTCCTATCCCTTTATCAGACTAGGATTAGAAATTCCTTCATCCCATGCTCCTCTCAGCCTCTTTCTCTTTCATCATCTGCTTTCCTTCACTACTGGAAAAAGAGGTTAACAGCAAAGGCGACTTTCCTGGTACGTTTCTTATTCTGGAGTGTCTTGTTTTTTTGTTTGTTTTTTTTTTGCAGTTGGGGTTAAGTGACTTGCCCAGGGTCACACAGCTAGTAAGTGTCAAGTGTTTGGTCTGAGGCCAAATTTGAACTCGGGTCCTCCTGACTTCAGGGTCGTTGCTCTATCCACTGCTCCACCTAGCTGCCCCTACATTTCTTATTCTAAGTAGAAAGAGTCTCTCTGCTTTTTGCTCCTCAAATCTAGACTCTTCTGTCTCCATCACTTAGCAACATTTTTGAAGTTCACTCCATCTGTCTCCGCCACCTAATCCAGATCCTGATGCCAGCTTCCAGGTCATTCTCCCTTCTTCCTAGAGAAATTCAATACCTATTGTACTGTCTTTTTCCATCCCAATTTTAAATTTTTTATCCTTTTTTATTTTTTATTATTTTATCCTTCAGTATTTACATTGTTGGCACCTTCAAACACTCCGACTTCCCATTTCATCAATCTGCTCAACTCCCATGACCAACATTTCCAACTCTTGTTACATAAAGTGGCTTAGGTCTCACTGTTTCCCCAAACTGTAACTTCTGTGATCTTGAATACTGAAATTCTTCTCTCTGATCATAGTATCCTGTATTTCCATGTCTCCCTGTGCCTCACTTCTAAACTTAATCATGATCTCCAGTCTCTGCTCAATCTATCACCACAACTCTGGCCTTAATTTCCTCCCTTTGAAGTTTTGACCTTATAGTTAACCATTTCAATTCTGTTCTCCACTAATTGGTTTTACTTCCATTGACCCCTTGCCAACCCTGGATCACCCCCCATCATTCCCCTTTTCCCTTTTTGTTCAGTCATATCCAACTCTTCGTTTTCTTGGCAAAGATACTGGAGTGGTTTCCTTCAGCTCATTTTACAGATGAGGAAACTAAGGCAAACAGAGTTAAGTGATATGCCCATAGTTACACCGCTAGTGAGTGTCTAAGGCCACATTGAACTCAAATCCTCCTGACTCCAGGCCTGGTACTCTAGCCACTGCTCCATTTAGCATTGTTCCCCACTTCCACTCCCAAACTGCTGAATGTTGCTAGGGCAATTCCATTCTGACTGGGTCTGCTACAAAATCATGTCATTGAATGTCAACCAGACTTCCCCGTTAACAGTGATGTTTTCAGTCTTCTGTCCCTGACTCTATCACACTCCCCTCATTGTCCACCCCAAACTTCTCAAGCCTGCAGTACCTCTTGCCCCAGCACAGCCAATGACTTTGCCTCCTCTAATGAAAATCTAGGGCGTCTCCTGTAGCTCCCTCATTTCCTCTAATCTACACCTAAATATCCCTACATTTTCAACCATCCTCTCTTCCTTTATTCCAATCTCTGAAGAAGAGTTAGCCCTTTGCTTTTCCAACACAAATCCCTCTGCTTGTCCCTAAACCTGAGTTTAGTCCAGGCGCTTACTGTGACTTTGGACATGGCATGTAAACCACTAAGGACCTCAATTGCTTCCTTTTTAAAAAAATTTTTTTTGTTTTTACAAATAAAAGTTGTACTTGGATTTGACCTCTGAGATCCCTTCTGTTTCTTCATCCCATCCCCTCCCACTCCAGGAGATTGTCTCACAGATTCTTCTCTCTGTCTCCCTCTTCCCCCTATTTCTCTCTACAACTCATACCTCCCCCACACCATATACATTTTCTTCTGCTCTCACCTTTTGGGGATGTGGAGGGGGTCCCTGTGACTTCTTCAGTGGAAGAAGCTCCCAGTTAGGAGACTCCCTCTAATTCAGATTTGCAACTATTTTATAATTTATTGTCTTAGAGAGTTACCTGGCAAGACATTACCTGCTGTTCTCATGGTCACACACTAGCATGTGTTAGAGGCAGGATGTGAACTCACATCTTCTTGACTTCAAGGCCAGCCCACTATCCACTAGGCCACATTGCTAGGCCACATTGCCCCTCAAGAATTTCAACTATTTGGTTTAAAAATTTTAAATATTATATTATTTAATAATATTTATATTACTATTAATTATTATTAAATATTAGGAATTTGGCAAATATTATAAAACATCATTTCCAAGTACAAAGAATTAGAAAAGGTATTTTATATAAAACTCCATCTCTATCATAATTCCTTGTTTTTGTTTGTTTGTTTTTTTGAGGCAATCAGGGTTAAGTGACTTGCCCAGGGTCACACAGCTAGTAAGTGTCAGGCCAGATTTGAATCCAGATCCTCCTGACTCCAGGGCCAGTACTCTATCCATTGTACCACCTAGCTGCCCACCTTGGTTCTTTTTAAAATGTACAATACAATAAACCAC